CTCTCTCTCTCTCTCTCTCTCTCTCTCTCTCTCTCTCTCTGCAGGACCCTGTCTGTGTTATTCAGGTGTGTTTGTGCCTGCTGCTGTACTCAGCGCCTGCCTGCTGCGTAGGATTGCACAGCCTGTTTTGAGCGTGATGCACTGTGAGCTGCAGCGTTAGCAAACAGCAGAGACATGGTAATGTTCAACACTGTCATGTCAGGAGTGTCAGGTTTTTTTGGGGTGGGGGGGAGGTGACAGAGTGGGATGTAGTCGGGGAAATAAATGCTGATTATAACCGCTCACTGTGCAACGGGATTTCTCTTTTAGATTCAGGGAAACAAATCAGTATTGCGTGGACATATTCTTAAAAGGTTTCCGATACAAATGAGCCTGCCTGATGTCAGTGCAGCTTTCAATTTTCCCTTTGACCTTTCACCTTTCTGTTTGTTCTCAAAATGTACTGTACAATTGAACAACCAGTTCAGAGTAACAGACGATACCTGTTTGACCTGAATATTGCAAAAGTGCTGAAACGAACGCAAATCGTACTTTCAAAGGTACTGCGAGTGTTTTTTCAGGAGTGGTTTGAGGGATTACTTGTAGATTACAAAAGGTTTAAGTGCTACTTTATTGTTGACTGACTCTGGATCTGAGCTTTGTGCTTTGTGTTTGCTCACGTCAACGGTGCCAAATGTCCTTGGAGAGTTACAACAGTGTGTGTGTGCCAGGAGACTCCTCCTGCAGCGTGATACACTACCTGCATGTCGGGTTTGGCTGACCTCCTCTGTGATGGTAAAGGGAAGCCTACGCTCACATATAAATCTCGGGTCATTATTACACACAGTACATAAATATCTGCCTTCTTGGAAACAAAACAAATTGATTTTTTTCGGCTTGTATTGTATCTGTTTTCTCAGCCGTGCCTGCTGTTCTACCGAATGCCATGCAGGGTGCAGCAACAGAGGCCTCGAGATACTGGCTCCAGTCGACATGTATGATGCTGGACCATCAATCGGCTCCTCTGCGCGGCAGCCATATTGGGCTGGAGAATACTGTGTGGTCGCCTGAGAACTTGTGTGTTTCCCAGCCAACATGCATCTAAAGAATAACAATTTCACTAGCCATGAAGACCATCCATGGAGCCGTGGGGGCTGTGGCCAGAAAGCTCGGCCAAACACTCTTTGCTCACGCAGCAGCTCTCTGTGTACTCCTATAAATACATCTCCTATTTGTATAGAGACGATATGCATCTTTGGGAAAATACCACAATGTTGACATAAGAGAAATCTCTCTCTCCCCCTGCCACCCCTTTCTGTCCCCTCCCTTCTCTACTCAAACTTCTACTACCCCTTGCTGAACCTTTCATTGCTTGAGAGAGAAACTGCGGGAGAAAGAGAAAGAGACGGAGCGAAGGAAAGGAGGAATGGAAGGAGACTGGGAGTAAAAAGAAGAGGCCTCCACGGTCTTTAAGCCACTATGGTATCCACCAGAGCCCTCACATACACCAAGCCTCTAAAGGGCTTTTGTCCTGTAAAGAGAGTGTTTGGCTAAATTGGGGGTGCTTGTGGACTGGCGGGTGGGATTGGGCTGGGTGTAGTATATTTGGCTCCCACGTCTCCATCACTGGAATGGCAAACTGTTTTGTAAAGCGAGGGAATTGAGAGGTGAGGTGTGTGGAGGGGCAAAGGGGGGATCCGTGTTTCTTTTTCCTTTTTTTTCTTTTTTGATGCAGGATGGCTGTATGTGTGTGTGTGTGTGTGTGTGTGTGTGTGTGTGTGTGTGTG